ATTTTTTAACTATGATATCATTTAGTGGAGATGACACCATCATTAAGATCCAGACCTCGATGTAACATAATTAAACTGTGATATGATATTACTCATGGTTTCAGGTTATATTTGTCATCGAGGATACGATCGTGATACACGAAGACCGAGACCTCTATGTAGAAGGTTACACACTCCAGAGGGTATAGTTAGAGCGAAGGATGATGGAAGCATTAAAACTGGGAAAGGAAAGAGAAGTACTCCTCAGAAGAAGAAAACTAAACAACAACGATGAGGAAGCATAGATGATTTTGATTGAAGGGCTGTTACATGGTCTTTGTTACTAGTTAAAATGCACGTCCATGATGCACGTGACAGAATGCGCATGTATTTTGTACGCTAAACATCCTGTAGAACCACCCCTACAGGAATGAGGTGGTTTGCAGTTTGCATTATAGATCGAAGAGTTAAAATTTTCTAAACCAACTTTCTAATCACGATATAGATCAAACATTTTCTATGGGAGTGTTCTGATAGAATCAACACTCCATTTTTTATAGTTGTATATAATTTATATGTATATATATTTTGCTGTTATCATTGGCTCATCCATGTTACCGTCTATAATAACACTTCATCTGTAGGTTTGGTGTGCCAAAATCTTTGAAACAAGAGTCTCTTTTTGTGTTCTGACGGAACCAAAATCTTTGAAATAAGATTCTATGTTTTGACAGATCATGCTTTTGTGAGGGGCTGTTTGGTTGATGTATTTGGCATTGGGGGTTGGGCAGAAAGCCTGCCAAAAATACTCTTTTGCTAGGCTTTCTGCCCAACCCCTAATGCCAAATACATCAACCAAACAGCCCCCAAGAGATCGCTCTTTTATTAATTTGGAAAGGTAAGATAACTTCTTGTACGGAAATAATTATTTAATTGTGATGCCGAAAGTTGCAAATTTAATGATTCTAATGCACAAGGTTAGCAAATATAAGACAAATTTAGCGTTTAATCACATTGATTTTCAAAGACAAGCTCGAAATATATATATAACAATAATGAAAACTCTTTACAACACAATGTAGTGAATAACACCAAGAGTTCATCAGCCAATGAGATCTTGCCATCGTTGTGATCACGTAGAAATGGTTGAATGCTCGTTCGAACTCGTTGAGTTTGGAATCTGATATGGACATTGTTTTCGTATGAAAAAGTCTTGGAGTTGCTTGGTTCGTGTGAAGAGAGATTGAATAATTGGCATTTTATATATGGTGTTCGTACTTCGTAGGCATGCTTTTAGCTGTACATTGACATTTTTGACGGTGTGTTGAGGGGTGTTGTCTTTGACCGTCTAGATTTGGAGGGTAAATTGCGAATATGGTACGTGTGGGTATTTACGTCAAAAAAAAAAAAAAAAAAAACCAAAAAAGTAGAAGGGTTTTTACCTATTGGCCCCTCAATACTTCCATAAATTAATATTAGCCCCTCAAATAAGTAAAAGTGCTGCTAGGTCCCTCACATTGGAAGGTTACTTGCAATTTGGTCTCTCTAGTTAACTTATGTTAAATCTGAGAGGAACATCTCCGCAAATCTAATTTTTTGTACAGAAGTATCAATTATACCTCCGAGCTATGTTTAATCACTCGGTTCTTCAATGTGTTTAAATTGAAATCCTCAAACTAAAGCCCAAACTCACATCCTCCTTCTTCTACAACGATAAATTATTCCCGTAATCCATTTTTCATGTTTTCCAAGTGTCTTCTTTTCTTAAATACCATCAACAGGAGGTATTAGTCATGTTGAGTTGAAAATTACCGTGACCATGGTTTTACAAATTTTATTAAATAGGTAAAACTTCGGTGGAGGTATCTAATGTATTGGTTAGATGTAAGTTGAGTTTATAATGTTTAGAAATCATCAGTGGAGCTCTCTAACATTAGTTCTTTTTTTAACTCTAGGTCTTTTTTTATATATAAATTATTGTTAAATCTTGCTAACCTATCAATGGTGTAGTAGAATAAACTTGTAATTTTCACTAATTTTTTTGCTGATGTGACATGAATAATTTGGACTTTCACTAATATTTTATTTGCGTGATAATGAAATGCAAGGTCACATCTGTGTCCCAAAAAAAGATTTAACAAAAATTTATAAGAAGTATCTAGGAAGATGACTGCGGACTGCTTACTAACGACTTTGGAACATTAAGGACCTAGATGATATTTAACTAATATATTAAGGACAGTTGCTGATCTTTTGCCCACTAAAGAACTGACAGAGGGACCAAATTGCAATAACTCTGAATGTGAGGGAGCATGAACAACTTCAATGAGTTGAGGGGCTACAGACCAAATTTGGAAGCTTGCAGGGAGATGAATCTAGTAAACCTTGACATCACGTGGCTAGAATTTATTTTCCAGACATCAATTTATTTTCTGATTTAAAAGGTAACAAAGTAAAAAAGATTCTTCTCGAGGATCTCTCGTTCGAAAGGCTCCACTTCGGTCGCGATTTCAGGTTCATCTCTCTCTCTCTCTCTCTCTCTGAAATTGTATTAGGGTTTCGCTTTCAATGATGCCGCTCTCTCTCTCTCTCTATCTCTGAAATTGTATTAGGGTTTGGTTTTCAATCGTGCATCCCATTGACATTTCTCGCCCAATTTCTAACTAGACTAATAAAACATTAGATTTGATTTCATTGAAAAAAAAGGCAATTGAAAATTTGCAATTAATTCATCCCCTTTCAATTCCTCTCAAGTACTGCAGAAATTTATTATCCATCTTCCTTAATTTGTTTTTTATAGTGTAATTTTGCTTCAATTTCTTTAGATTTATTTAGAATTGTTATTTGTAATTGAATTGCTTGTGTTTATAATTGATTTGATGACTATTATTATTTTTTCAGATTTATTGTTATTAAAATTGTGTATAATTGAAAAGTTATTCATTTATCTGTGTTTACAGCAATTAGCTCATTCCCTTTCAATATTCTGTAAACACTGCAGAAAAATTTCCACATATTGTCATTTGATTTATTTTAGTGTAAAGTTTTCTTCAATTTTAATGTTTCTGTGAGCAAAGCAATCCATTAACTAAAGGGAAAGTAAATTTTGTAATGGAGATGGATTGCGCATATACAATTGATATGTGCTTATTTGCTTGTTTAGATTTGTTGTTGTTATCAGTCTTTGCGCATTGTTGTTTTAAATTTGTGCACATAGTAAAAGCAATTTATTAATCTTAATGGAAATTAGTTCATGCTATTTTCTCTTTTTTCTTTATAATGTAATTATTCGTCTAAATTTTCTATATAAGTTAAACCTTTTCTTACTCTTCTCTATGGAAGATGGATGCACCGGAGCAAACTGTGAGCAACATCCTTGAACAAGATAAACTGAAATGGGTCTTCGTTGGAGGCAAAGGAGGCGTCGGAAAAACCACGTGCAGCTCCGTCATCGGCATCCTCTTGGCCTCTGTTCGCCAATCCGTCCTCATCATCTCCACGGACCCTGCTCACAATCTCAGTGACGCCTTCCAACAAAGATTCACAAAAACCCCCACCCTCGTCAACGGCTTCACTAATCTCTTTGCTATGGAAGTTGATCCTAAAGTAGAAAATGATGATATCACGAGCAATGATGGCATAAACAGCTATATCTCTGAGCTAACTGATTCAATTCCTGGTGTTGACGAGGCAATGAGCTTTGCTGAAATGTTGAAGTTGGTTCAGACCATGAATTACTCGGTTATTGTGTTCGATACGGCTCCAACTGGTCATACTTTGAGATTGTTGCAATTTCCATCGACTTTGGAGAAAGGCTTGGAGAAAGTTATGGCGTTGAGAAGTCGGTTTGGTGGTTTATTGAGTCAAGCAACTCGTTTGTTTGGCCTTGGTGATGAGTTTAATGAGGATGCGATGGTTGATAGGCTTGAAACCATGAGGGGAATCATTGAAAAAGTGAACAATCAATTTAAGGATCCGGATTTAACGACTTTTGTGTGTGTTTGTATCCCGGAGTTTCTTTCTCTATATGAAACCGAGAGGTTGGTGCAAGAGCTAGCAAAGTTTGAGATAGATTGTCATAATATTATCATTAATCAAGTGATTTTTGATGAGGAAGTTGTTCAGTCTAAGTTGTTGAAAGCTCGAATGTCTATGCAGAAGAAGTATATTAATCAGTTCTATATGCTTTATGATGATTTTCATATAACAAAGCTGCCGTTACTTCAAGAGGAGGTTTGTGGGGTTGAAGCGTTGAAGCAATTTTCCAAAAACTTCATAAAACCATACCAGCCTTCTTTAACTCGAGGAACCGTTGAAGAGTTGGAGCTCCGAGTTTCTCTGCTGAGGTCACAACTAAAAGAAGCAGAATCAGAGCTTCAAACAAAGAAGAAAGGAAAGTAAAAAAAAAAGCTTGATCTTGCATCCATCTCTGGAATTCTCTTCAAACCTATTTCATTTCAAACATTTAGTTTTTCTTTGTCATAAGTCTTTGATCTTAATAGCGAAAACTGCAGCCTATTTCTGCTTGTGTTCAGTCCATATTTATTTATTTTAAGATAATAGATCTGCTTGGTTATACTTGTTGTCTCAGTTTTAGAATAGTATATGTTATCTCTGGGAACATGCTTCTGTCAACATGAATAAGAATTTTAGAGTGAAGTAGTGGTATGCTTGTCTCTTTTTATTAGCAAAAAAGCTATTTGAACCGCGAGCCCTCAACTCGCAGAGAGGTGAACAGGGGGGGTGGGCCCCACTGCTACCGCGAGCCAAATAGCAGAGTTCTTTTATTAGTATATAAGATATCACTGCTGCTTCACATTTGAACCACAAACATTACCTTATGAGGGTTGGTAGTTTCTGCATTTTGGAGCAGATAAATGTGGGCATTTGAATTTTGAAACCAATGCCGCAGCAGATAAATTGGGTTCTTGATTCAACGGATGTAAGTGTGAAAACAGCATCGAGAACTGCTAGCTGACATTCTCTCCCCTGATCTCCTAACAGCGCTCCATGTTAGCTGCTCCCTTTTTGATCTCAATGCAGAATTCGCCATTAAAATTTAAGTGTTTATGGTTTTCTTTTCTTTTTCACTTTAGTTTTTTTTTTCTTCTTCTTGTTACATACAAAAGGAAATGAATTTGTTTATTATCTCTGAAATTACTTGTCAATAGCAATTCATGGAGCGTATTAGCCTTGAGGGGTTACTTTTCTCAGTGCAGAATTCGCCATTAAAATATAAGTTGGTTATCTGTGAGATGCATATTGTTCTGAGAAAGATGCGTGTGCATTCTCAGAGTTTATCATCGCCCTTCGCTCCATGCTCAATATCTAAATGACATTTACAGAATATTATTTAAGTTTAACCCTTTACTTGTTCACGCAAAAGGTAATTATTTAGTTGAAGCGGTTTTGTTAGAATTAATAAAAAAAAAGTTCAAGTGGGTTTATGTGCATCACCCCCAAAGTTCAGGGGGGTTTTCTCGAATTAAAGTATGTCAAGGTGGTTCTATGAAATTAACCTCAAATTTTACGCAATTAAGTTGAGACTTACCTAAAGAAGATCGCCAACATTAACAATTAACTTTCTTCATATACTAACTACTTTCTCTGAAGCAATGCTATGAGAAAGAGACTTAATTTCAAAGAGAAATAGTAATATATATATGCTATTTATAGGAAGCAAATATATACTACAATCATAAAATCTTTCATCGCGAGACTAATTAAATTATTTACTTCTCCAATAAATGCCAATGAGATGTTTGTAAACGATATGACATGCCTTGAGTATCCATTACTAACTTGAACGTCGGAGGGCCTGTGGGGCAGTATTTCATGTCCCGCTTCGTTGGTGGCTGAGTAGCGAGTAAAAGCATGTCCTCCCAGTCTAGTTTTTGATCGGCCTGAAACTATGAACATTTGTCCGTATCCTTCACTTCTGACTGGTAATTTTTTGAATGTTTCCTTTTCCTCGAAAGGAAGCTTGAAGAAACCAGCAACATCTTCCTTCACCTTCTCAATTAACTCTTCTGGGTACTCCATGATTTATTAGCTACATCATCGACAGAAATTAAGGTGAACATGTAGATGATATCAATTCACGTCCAAATCCTTAGCAAATATTTTTTGAACATTGCTTACCTTTTCTTTTGAGAAAAAAAATATTGCTACTTAATTACCTTGAAAAAAAAAAAACCCCAAATGCTGGCAAGCAAGATCAAGCTCAGCACACTCCTCCTACAGAGTTGTGGATTCCTCAGGAGCTCCAAGTTGATGATCAGAAGGGTGTTGTTCTCAATTTGGTTGACAATGGGATCGGTGTCCCCTTCGGGTCGATCCGGAACGTCGCACACGCCATTGTTGGTTGCATCAGCCAGCTCCCGGACGTGGGGCACCAAGAGTGAAGGTATAAAAGACGCCATTAATCCCAACTTTTAATATTTGAAAACGGAAATGTTTGTGTTGCCGAGGACAAGGGAAGTCTTTATAGTAGACTAGAAACAGAATGAACAATATACTACATTTAAATATTAGGATTATTTACATTCCAATACCCTGTGGTATCGTGTATTTACACAGGTGACCTGGGGGTTTATGTATCTACATGGATAATCCTGAGATTAGTGACTAAGGTTACAAGGGTAACCGTGAGCAACCTTGAAATTACTTTCATTAAGGTTGCTCATGTAATCTCAATCGTGATTTGAGGGTTATCCATGTAGACACACACACAGAACCTAGGGTCACCCGTATAATTACGTCATATCGCAGGGCGCCGGTTGTAAATAATCCTAAATATTAAACTACTGAGTGACAGTGAAAATGTCCGTAGAAACATAGTTTATTACTAGTGAAGAAAGGGCAGGAAACACACATGCCTGCTCTGTGTATTAGCTGCACAAATTTAGGGCCTGTTTGGCCGAAGGGATTTGATTTTGGAATTTTGGATTTTTCATAAATCCAAGAATCCCCGAACTTTGCAAAATTCACATACTTCGTTTGGTTGGTAGGATAATGCAATAGAAATTGTTTTTCTAGAAATCCTTTGTTTGTTTTCATACAAATTGAAAAAGTTGAATTAGAATTTGTGGACCCCACTAATGATTGGGTTGTATAAGAAAAATGATGGGTAACTAATAGCAGCTCCATTTATAGATATATATATATACAAAAATGTTACTAGGTTCTTATTACAGGTTTATTTCAGGTTCTAGACTAGGTCCTGATGGCTTTTCAGATTGAAAGTTGTTAGTTTTAGTTCCGTAAACACGTTAAATTAGAATGTTTAATGTTTACATGAATCACATGATAGTTATCATTTACTGGCTTATAATTTTGTCCTTGAGTTTTGAACTTCTATTTTTATCGATCAGTTTCAAGGAAACGAGTTCTTTTAACTCTGAAATCACTGGTCAATGGCAATTTATTGAGGATGTTATCTTTTAGTGACTACGTTTTGTCTTCATGTTTCCAGCAATTAGCAAAACATTTCTTGGAAGAAAGGAAGACGCACAATGTTCAAAGTCAAGGGAGGATGGGAGCTGATTATTCGTGACGTGCACATTGCTCTGAAGATGCCAGAGGTAAGTTTTATTTCAATTATATAAGATTTTTTTTATCTCCTAAGCCCTAATGCTGTAGGATTCTAAACATGCTTTAAGATGTGTTAATTGCTTGCATTTATGTGAAGAGGAAGCAGCAGAATATACTGAGCATCCCATTTGCATTTCTCCTGTAGGCAGTAGTTTACGCTATATAGTTATAATTTATAACCTGTAGTCTGAGGAGCCAAACATGAAGGATTCACAAATCAAGTTTTAGTGTGAGCAAAAAAACTTTGCATTTTCAAAAATTATATTCATCAAGCTCCCTTGGGTAAGTACAATACCCCACTAACTACATTTAGATGGGAAAAAAAGAATTGGATTCAACAGTATCAGTGTAACTATCAAGTCATCAGAGGTGGTGCAAATACCAACTTGGAATACTTCCATATTTCCTAAATTGAGAAATTGCCCAGCACATAATGCAAACCATAAACGTTTAGATTACATGCATCCAATTCGCCAGCACACTGGAGACTAGCTTATTGCTGGAATTTATTTGAAGTAGATGTAACAAAAGCATACAATAAAAGAGACTAATTTTCACATTTAGAAATCTTCACGCTCTCTAGATAGCTTTTCCCTTCGAGTTTTGCTGCAAAATAACCCTTCATATAGTCTT